TGAAGAAATGCTGGCTGATCAGCACAGTAGCTCACTGATTATTTATCAGGCTACACATCTCTTTCAGCTTGTTGTAGGAATTTATCTTCAAGGCAAAATGTATCATCGGGCAGAAATGCTGATCACAGTAGATATTAAAGATTTTGCTTACTTAGCAAACTATCAACCTATTGCTAGATATGTTGTTTTGGAAAACTATTTAGAGTTAGGATGCCATTAAATTATTCCTATTTAATTATAGTAAGGGTGGTGTTTAAACTGGCAAATAAACTATAAGCCACATTCGCAATATGTCCATATCTTCTCCTTACTTTCCCCTTTCCTTTCTCTGTGGATGCCATTATGAGAGTGGTTCCCTAATTCTTTCATAGCATGGAACACATCTCAACACAGAGATCATCATGAGGACCATATCTCCTTCCATTTATGATTGCATAGGCCAACTCCACTCCCACAGGCAACTAACTGCCATCCCTCTGGCAACTAAAGCAATAGTTTACATGAGAAAAGTATTATTAGGAAGACATCTAATGTATTTTTAGATCCTTTTAGTGCAGTTTAGCAGCTGAAAACAAAGGGAGTGCCAGTGCCATGTGAACAGCCAGCTCTGAGGACCATGAGAAAGTGCTACATGGACCAGCGTCTGGGAACTATTGCATTATGACAACCATTTCCTTGTTACCAAAGCCAGTGGAAGGCAAGATGGCACCTGTTTCAAGTGTATATATTTTAAGACATCTTTAGAAAAATCAAAAGTTTGCAAGTTTGAGGGAGAAGGGGACAAATGGGGTCTCATCTGCCCTAAATTGCAAGGGCTTAAATTGCCCAAAATGCTATGGGTGATATTCTGGCTCCGCTGAAGTCAATGGGAGTTTTGCTATTGGCTTCAGTAGAGCCAGAATTTCAATGTACCTAAGCAATTTCTTGTTTGATTACTTCTTAAAGTTAATGAGTACTATAAGCAAGTGAGGGGTCAGGGCCCCATTTCAGAGGCAATGGTGGAAATGCCATTATGGGGTGTGTGTGTTTGTGTGTCACTATGCTCTGTATGTCATGCATTTCAGCTAGTCTCTGGACAAATCTACTTACCACTTTGGGGTTAATATGTTACACACTATAGGGGTTTATATTGATAATTATAGTTTTGCTACAATTTTTTCCTATTTTTTAAATTTCCTTGACAGTTTTTTCTTCTTTTTTTGAACTTCTCAGTAGTAATGTATGGAGAAGTGATATTAGCATTTAGGGGAGGGTATGATGGACATATTGTTCTCGATCAAGAAATAAATTATGCATTTTCTTGTAAAATACTATAGATGAATTTTGCTTAGGGCTGGATAATTGTATGACCCATATTTGTTATAATAAAACTTTGACTTATATGGCACTGATGATGCTCAGCTCCATAATACCTGATCTAATCCAATTGACTGATTGCCCAAGCTGTGTTTGGATTGCAGTTGCCCAGGAATATGAGGGTTGTTTTCCAAGAGTCAAGAGGGGAAGTTGGAGAAAGCAGGCTGGGCTGCTACATTTTTCATGAGAGGGAAAGGAAGAGAAGGGAGTGGAACCTTCCAATTTGTGAAGAGCCGAGCAGCTCCAGCCTGTTCCATTTCCTTCCCCACCTCTCCATTCTCCTCCTCTCCCCTGTTATGAAAAAGTTGCAGTCCATTCTGCTTCCTTCCACCCAATTGCTCACTAGTGGTAAGATCATGGTAGTTGGTCCATGCATAATGTAGTTCCACTGGTCCAAAATTCTGGATTGAGGAGAGCAGTGGGCCATGTCCACTAATCCCTTCCTTCCCAACCGTAGTAGTATCAAATCAGGTGTCCGCAGGCTCGGACTAAGGATTCTGTACTTCAGCACTAGTCTTTTGACCTCAATAATCAGCCCAGGGGCTGATCCCATCACACAACACACTCTACCTCAGGATTTGGCCCTAAAATTACCAGCACATTTGTAATAGTTGAGGTAACCTTGCCTAGAGGGCAAGTGTGTCCCAGAATTATCATCTCGTTTTGCTAATCCCTGAAGCCACTTGTGAATTTTAATTGCAATTCTGACCTCTAATTAAAGGAAATCACAGTGAGCTGAATCCAAGACAGTCTCAGTGGGGACAACTTTAGAGCTTCCTGTCCTTGGAAACTATGGTTTATTTCCCAGCATCAGACTTGGAACTGCAGTTCATAACAGTAAGCAGCAAATTCCAGATCTTAATGTGCTAAGCATATTTTGGCATATTCCCAACTGGTTGTGTGATTAGGTCAAGAATCCTGAATTCTACCTGCTTAGTTGTAAGGATTTTCACATTTAAGTACACTATTTTCCACCATCTTTAAAATTTAAAAATATTCTGATATAATTTCACATTTTTTGCTAAATAGAATGTGGAAAATTTTGCAACTGTAATTTACACAGTTTTGGTAGAGACCAAAGGCTGAAGGAGGAAGGAGATTGAACAATCCTATCATTCAGGGCTGCTGGAACAATTTTTATAGTGGGGGTGCTGAGAGCCATTGAACCAAACTGCAAACCCTGTATATAATGGAAACCACTTCAAGCCAGGGGCAGCACCCCCACCCCTAGTTCCAGCACCTATGCTATCATTAGACTTGGAAGGATTAGATTTTCATTGGTGTAAATGTTGATTTCATCATACGTAAACAAACCAACACAATATTTCCATTGCTAATTGAAATTTACTTCTTCTTGAGAACTTATTAGAGTTTGATATAAGGATATTTACTTCATATATTTTGACATGTGATGTTGCCAATTTGTGTGTTTTTAAACCATTATAAAGCTTTAAATTTTTTTGAATCTCAGCATCTGTTGCCATTAAATAATTGTTTGACTTTCACCAATAATTACTCACAATTGTTAAAATTTAAATAGATAAAAATTGAAAAAAGCTTAAAAATTAACTTCAATAGTATCTGTCAAAATTATAAAAAAAATTAAATCTAAGTCTGCCAAGCCTACCTATCATCTCTAATACGTCAGGTCAGAGGCATTTTGGCCATGTGGGGAAACTGGACCACCTACAGGATAAAGATCTTCAGTCTCCAACAAGGTCAGGCTGGCATTTTTCTTGAGCAACACAATACTTTGTAGGATGGTAAAGAATCCCTGTCATGCACCTAGCTGATGGAGTGCTGTACATGGGAGAATAATTCCTTCCTGACCACCACAGTTGACCATCTTTTATCCTGAAGCATGATTTCTGATCACCCATTTACTCTTATCAGTATCTTAGCTCGCATTATACAACTACATTCTGCAACTACAATACGTTATCACAAAGTTAACCAATTTTTAAAATATCCAGTTACAGCATTTGACTGAATGATGCCCTGTAGCAGCGATTTTTCACAGACCAAGAATACATGGCATAAAGATGAGATATCTATAATTTGTTCAAAATGTAAATATTCCTTTGGGGGTTTTTTGGTAAGGGACCAGGTAAAGAAGAGTGACTGACCAATACTTTTCAGAAGATTGAATACCTTACTTAAATCCCCTCTAAGTCTTTTCCTTACCAGTCTAAATAATACTAAATTTTGTAGTCTCTTATCAAGGATTACCATATTCCTAGCCATCTGTGTTGCCCTTCTTAGCACCTTTGTCTTCTCTGCTATATATTTCTTAATGTGCAGTGACCTACAAGCTCATACATGCAACTGAAGACCTCTGTGCCCAGACAGAACCTCTTTAAAGTCAATCAGGGCATAAAAAAGTGGAGAATATCATTGTTCAATATAGTGTCATTTTAATATTTGATGCATTACTTTTCTATCCTTTTTCATGCCCTTAGAACTAATTTCATGTTTTAACTGCTACTGTGTTCTGGGCAGGAAAGTATATGCATATTAAAATATCTTCTTATATTTAAAAGATTAAAACATCATGTATTGATCAACAAGTTTGGGGAAATGTTTCTGCCTATTTACATAAGCCTGAAAACTGCAGGTATTTTGAAGCATTTACAGCATCACTGTGCTACCTGTCATAATGTAACTGCTGATGAGTCATAAGTGATTGGCAGATATGGGAATACACCATTTTGGTTAAATCAACATCTAAGTAATCTCCAAGTTTTCCCCTTGGAGGCCATTAGCTGAAAATATAAAACTGAAAAGTGGAACCTTTATTTGTGAAGAAAAATATATGGGGAAAAATAAACTAAGCACCCTATTTCAACTAGAATTGGGTTTGGTTTGACCTCTAATTCGCTTTATTCCCACTAATAGTTGTAATCAGTTTACATTTCATCTGATTCCGGGGAGGAACTCTCTCCCCCCCCCCTCAACTTTTTGGGTAAACTTTTAGCTTATCAATATATCTTCCTTTTAGGTATTCGGACAATACGCTGCTCACTTAGCTCTTCTAAATCAGTTAAATCTCAACCCTACAAATATTTACACACGTGCTTTATTTATGCACAAAACTAGCTAGTCCCACTGAAGTAAATCCTCAATGCTGAGCCTTAAACCTGCGAGCAGTTGAGTTCAATGGGATTGCTGAGGTGCATAAAGCTGAGCAGATGCCTCAGTGTTTGCAGAACCGGGGCCGTAGATTTCCAGGGCTCAGGTACTACGGCGACGAATGCAAAACAAGGCGGCGAGTTGAGCGAGAGAGCCGGAGAGGAGATGTAAAGGGGGAGTCCTTGCACAACGCACTATAGCCAGGGATGTTTTTAAAGGAGTCACTAGGGCTGCGTTAGTCACCTGAGGGCCCCGGCAGTTCAGTCCCCGCTGGACTTTCCCTGTGTTCAGCTTGTCTCTATGCGCCCGCGCTCCCTCCATCTCCCGCGGCGCTGCTGCACCGAGCCAGAGGCGATAGGTGTGTCTGCGCGGCGCGGCGCGGCCGGGGGGGGCGGGGGGACTTTCTAAGTGATTGGGCGAGAGGAGCGCGAGCGACTCCCCTGCTGGGCTCTGCTGCAGCTGCTCGCGCGCGCGCTCGCCTCGCTCGCACAGTAGCCGCGCTCTCCCCGCTCGCGCCGGACCGCCCCGCTCCGCTCCTCCTGCTCCCGCCGCCGGTCGCAGCAGGGCACAGCCGCAGCATGCCGCAGCCCGCGGCCGCCCTCGGGGCTGCCCTCCTGCTGGTCCTGCTGGCTACAGACTCCTCGCCGAGTGAGTGCCTCGGGGGCCTCCGTCCAACCCAGGGGGGGAAACCTCGCCCCCCGCCGGGACCCCCCTGCCCCGCAGCAATGCACCAGCCCAGCCTCTGCGACGGTGTGCAGGGGAAAGCAGCAGCTCCCCCTTTTCTCCCAAGGACACCCAGAGAGCGTTTGGCGGGACGGGGGAGGGGATGATGGTGGGACACGGGCATTGTTGCGTGGGCAGGAGGAGTAGTGGGGGGATGGCTGGGGCATTCCTCTGGGGTGCACGTGTGTGGCATTGTTCTAGGGGGCTGGAGGGGCAGGCAGGGTGTGAGCGCACCCCTGGGGCATTGCATGGCTAGGGGCACAGGGGATGCGTGTGGTGCAATGCCGTGTCTGCCCGCCCAGTGTCTGTGGGGGGGCTGGGGAGAGTACGTGCTAGTGGCAGTGCTTTGTGCGGGGTGACTTGGTGTCCGTGCAGCGGCGGTGCGTGTCGCAAGGTGTCTGGAGTGGGGCCGGGCTGTTGTGACACGGGCTCGCCTCTGGGCCGGGCCCCTCTGTGAGGGGTGCCCGCTCGTGGCATTGTGCTCCTGCTCTGTGCAATGTCCAGCCGGCGGGTGGGATTTGATTCCTGTAGTTACCGCTGCTTTCCCCCTCCCCGGTGTTTGTCTGCGGCCGCAGCCGTGCTGCTGAGAGCCCCGGAGGCTGCCCAGTTCTTGCGGCAGAGGCAGCGCCGAGCCTACCAGATCTTCGAGGAGACCAAGCAAGGCCATCTGGAGCGGGAGTGCGTAGAGGAGCTGTGCAACAAGGAAGAAGCCAGGGAAGTGTTTGAAAACGACCCTGAGACGGTAAGAGTGATGAGCGGAGCTGCCGATATATTGGGGTTTTACTGACAATCTCTCGCTCCCCAGCAACAGCTGGAAGGAGGGCGCCAGCTGTCTGCACAGCTGGGGAAGTTGTTTGGGGGAGGAGGCGAACCATTAGATAAATAACTGAAACCACAGCATAACCAGCGCTTCCCTCAGTAGGGTTGTGTGAGTGTTGTCAGGCCAAGCAAATACAGTTAAAAAAAAAAAAGTCTGGATACTGGGCTGACATAATTTTACATGAGATTCATATTTTAAATATCCGTATTCTGCGTTCAGACTTAAAGGGCTAAATTCACCCCTGGTGTAACTCCAGCAAGTCAAGGGAGTTACACCAAGGTGACAGTGTTATAGCATTTTTGTCTGGACACCTTTGTCTCCCTCTTCCCCCTCCGCCCCCCCCCCCATCCCTTGAAACCCAGGACATTTAAAATTGTTTTAGCTATGACCCAAAACAATGTCATAAAAGAAATTTTATGAAGAAATAAATCATAAACATGCTTTAAAACTTTCGAGCCTTTTTTAGTGAGTATTTTGAGTTTGTGGTTTAGGATTGGGATTGCTCTAAATAAGAAGAGGGGAGGCCAGAAATAATGACTTGTATAGCATTTTTAATAACATGGCATTGCTGTAAAACTGCACTGCATCTAGTCACAACCTACAAAAACAAATTGAAGTCCTCATGAATCTTGAGTATTCTGTTTTTGTGGTACTTTGTATGGCTATAGTTGTCTTGTTTTACTAAAGTTTGCTTATTTTCTTTTCCAGTTAGCTTGCACCTTCTGGGTGTGCTGTTTCGAATAGGCTGTCCCCTTTCAGGGGTCAGTTTAGTGGTGGGGAGTGAATTTCTTGGAGATCACATTGAGGCTTGATATTGCACAATGTGTTCATGTTAATGGTTTGATGCTTTCTGAGTGGGAGGAGATACATAGTTCAGGAGTGGGGGTGGGGAGAGAGGGCAGGACTTGGCTTTTCCTCTTGACTTAATGTTTTATATTTAAGTGAAAACATGTCTTGACATGTATACCTTAATAGGCTAACAATGCATTGAATGCCCTACATCCCAGTGCAATGGATAGTTACAAAGTGAAAGTAAAAAGGACTGCAATTTGCAAACACATTCTAATGCTGGTTTTTCTTCTATCTGCAGTTCAGAGTTTAAGATCAAATTCCTATTTAGTTAGGTCCACTAAGTGTCTGTTGCACTACTGCCTGTGTACATACTTTTGCACCTAGATACAATACTGTTTGGTGCTCTGTAAAATATATAGATTGAATGCAGTATAAACACTTATAATGGGGTGTCAGACTGGCTGACACAATTATTTTCCATATTCCCCTTGAGCTAAAATGTTTTAGTAGAATCTTGCACTCATTCAGTGTAGGTGTGCAGAAAAAATATATCCAAAATGTGAACTTTGACCTTCCATAAATAAAGTTAATCTGAGGTCACCACCTGTATTTATTGGATTTTAGCCAAGAAAATTGGCAAGGGTGAGCAAGTGTATGACATACTCACAGACTTGTTCACTGGAAGGGTAGGCTGCTGTAAACATATGTAATGATTATGAAGAATAATACTTGGCACTTATTTCACACTTTTGAAAATTGTAAAGCTTTATTCCTATTATGAAGACCTTGAAGTCATTTGGGTTTTACATCTTATCTATAGCTATAAATAAATTCCCTGACACCTAGCCATGTTATTTAAGCAGCTTTGAATAACAAATATTTTGCAGTTGATAATGCTTTGTTTTATATTTGTGGATTTATTTTATTTTATTGCAGCTGTTTGGTCTCTTTCTAATTTTGAAAAAAAAAACTATAAGGGAATATTGTCAAGGTTACAGGTCTCTAATATTTGTGTCCACTTGCATGTTCTACGTGCACCTAAAATGTTATTTTTTAAAATGCTCCAAGCTCTGCAGGTCCTCTCCTGAGACAGCCACCAGCCCACCCAGAATGCTGAATTTGTTAGCAATTTGCACATGTGGTTCTTGCCTAAGACAAACCTTATGCCCCTTCCAATCTAGTTGCAGATCAATATTTGGCATGGAGACAGCACTTGTTGTGCTGCTGGACAGTCAACTAAGGATTATGGACAGAGGTAAAATACCTATGCTATTATTACTTCATCTATTGGGAGTCTACAGTGCTATATTAATCATAAAGTAGCAGGGATGGATGAAGTCCCATTCAGGGAACACTGTTGCTTCTTTGACAGAGCCTAGAAGATTTTGATGGCCAGTTGTTCCTCATCATTTAGTGCTCTCATCTGTAGAACCACACATGGCTTAATCTTGTCACCTCTCCTTCTTTACTTTTATATGAGGCAACTGAGGGGATTTGCTAGATGCTATGATCTGTGATGTTATTAATACACAGATGACAGTCTTATCCTGTTGACAGAGAGAATCAGGGACCTCTGAGAAACAGCTGTCTCAGACTCAATTCAGGAAAGATGGAAATAAAATTAGATAGCAGTGCATTGCAGTTTGAGTAGTAGCACTAGCTGTGACCTCATCTCTCAGCAGAGGAAGTCTGTCCTCAAGTTGTTCAGGATGGCTGGAGATTGCATCTTTACTTCTTGGATGTGGGCCTAACCACAGTGATCTATGCTTTGGTTGTATCAAGAAGAGACTACATTAGTGCATTCTAGGGATGATCCTGAAGGCTAACCAGTAAGTGTAACTGTTTTAACAGACCCATCTATAAATTGTCAGGACTACATCATTCCAACACTCTGGTTTATGCACTGGGGCTTATCCAGCCCCAGATCTGTTCCAAGCTCCTGATCCTTATCTTTAAAGTGCTAGATGAGCATGGGCATAGTCACATGAATGGCTGCTTCTCATTACACTTTTTGGCATCTAAGGTCTGGTCTACACTACAGTGTTAGGTCAACGCAAGACAGCTTACGTTGACCTAACTATGGAAGTGTCTACACTTACATTTTGCTCCTGCAGACATAACTGCCCTGCTATGCTGACTTAATAACTTCGCTTCTATGAGTGGTGTAGAGTCAAGGTCAATGTAGTTAGGTTGACACAGTGTCAGTATAGACACCACGTTGCTTATGTCGACTATTACTGGCTTTCAATGCCCCACACTGACAATACAATTGATGCAAGCATTCCTGATGAGGACACACACTGCTGACATAAGGAGCAAAATGCAGACACACACAAGCGATGTAATTACAGCAGCGGCTGTATGCTGATATAAGTTAGGTTGTCTTAATTTTGTAGTGTAGACACAGCCTAAGGTTTAGTCTAAACTAAGGGCTTGTCTACACAAGATAGCTAGAGCATAGTAAACAAGGGTGTGAATTTAGTGCTGTCAGGGTTCCTTCCCCACTCTGAACTCTAGGGTACAGATGTGGGAACCTGCATGAAAGCCCCCTAAGCTTATTTCTACCAGCTTAGGTTAAAACCTGGTACGCTGCCACCACCAAGTGATTTAACAAGAAACAGGGAAAGGACCACTTGGAGTTTCTCTTCCCCCCCAAAATATCCCCCCAAGCCCTTACACCCCTTTTCCTGGGGAGGCTTGAGAATAATATCCTAACCAATTGGTTACAAAGTGATCAAAGACCCAACCCCTGAGTCTTTGGACAATGGAAAAATCAGTCAGGTTCTTAAAAGAAGTATTTTATTAAAAAGAAAATGTAAAAATCATCTCTGTAAAATCAGGATGGAAAATAACTTTACAAGGTAATCAGATTCAAAGAGCCCAGAGGAACCCCCTCTAGCCTTAGTTTCAAAGTTACAACAAAACAGGGCTAAACTTCCCTCTAGCAAAGGTAAAATTCACAAGTTGAGAAAACAAATACGCCTTGCCTGGCTGTTACTTACAAGTTTGAAATATGAGAGACTTGTTCAGAAAGATTTGGAGAACATGGGTTGATGTCTGGTCCCTCTTAGTCCCAAGAGCGAACACCACCAAAACAGAGCACATACAAAAGCATCTCTCCCCGCCCCCCCTCCCTGAGATTTGAAAGTATCTTGTCCTTATTGGTCCTTTGGGTTAGGTGTCAGCCAGGTTACCTGAGCTTCTTAACCCTTTACAGGTAAAAGGATTTTGGTGCCTCTGGCCAGGAGGGATTTTATAGTATTGTATACAGGAGGGTTGTTATCCTTCCCTTTATAGTTATGACAAGTGCAGAGTAGCTAGTATGCTTTAACTCCCCACGTGGACATTCTTATTGCACACTAAACCTTGGGCAGTTTAGTTTAATTCATTTCCAAAGTGTAAGCTAATGCGCACAGAGGCACTCTTAGCACTCGGTAAGAGAGACCGCAGGGGGAGTTGGTGCAGAATAGCTAACTACTGCAGGCTTTTTCCTTATGTAGACAAACCATTAGATTTAAAGAAGTGATATGAAATCATATTAGCTAGTTCAGTTTAACTAATGCCTTCAAAAACCTCTAGTCAAGACAAGGCAAGTTGTACTTTAGTATGTGCTAAGCTGGTCAAGTAAAAAGCCTAGATTTCCTCCTAATCCTATAAAGTTTACTCCAGAGCCAATTTTGGATTTTTTCCTTGTGGAAAAATAGCTCTGTTGACCCAATAAACAGAAATGAAACATTTTGACTTGCACCTACAGTAGGTAGGATGACTACACGGTTGTCATTTTGGTGTCTTGCACGCATTGTTTTATTGACCAACCCGTCGGAAACATGCCTGCAAACAGATATTAGCAAAGACGTAAACTCTCTTAAACCTGAATGATGATGTTGCCACATTTGTGATTACTTGCATCAACTGCTAGTCATGTTATACCAGGTAGGGTTAAATAACCATTTATTTGCAAGTAAATACAGCTTTTTGTTTTATATTAGCGAGAATATTGACTAGTCCAAGACTGGGGGAGGGAAGATCATTTGTTACATTTCTAGTCTGAAATTTTTTCCTACCCTTAAAAGAAAACAAGGTTGTAGTATCTGTATGACTATAAATGGTAAAAACAAATACATGCTATG